GGGGTTCAGGAAAAAGGGGGGAGTGCTGGAATTTGGGGATCCCAAAGCTTGTCAGGGGTGGAAATTGGGAATGGGGACCCCAAAGCCTCTCGAGGTTGGAAAGTGGGGACCCCAAAGCCTGTTGGAGCTGGGAATTGGGGACCCCAAGGCTTGTTGGGGATGGAAAGTGGGGATGGGAACCCCAAAGCCTGCCAGAGTTGGGAACTGGGGACCCCCTTGGCCCTGTTAGAGGAGGGAATTGGGGATGGGGACCCCAAATCCTGGGAGAACTGGGGGGCCCAAAGCCTGCCGGGGCTGGGAATTGGGAACGAAGACCCTAAAACCTGCTGGGGCTGGAAACTGGGGACCCCCAACCCTGCCAGGGTGGGGCATTTGAGACCCCCCAGCATTCCAGGGTCAGTAGGGACGAGGATTCCAAAGCCTGGGAGAACCGGGAATTGGAAAACTCAAAGCCTGTTAGGGCTGGGATTTGGGGATGGGATCCCAAAGCCTGTCGGGGCTGGGATTTGGGGATGGGATCCCAAAGCCTGCTGGGGCCGGAATTTGGGAACAGGGAATCCCAAAGCAGACTCGGGGTCCCTCCACGTGCCCCTCCAGGCAATCCCCGGCGCATGCGCTGTGCAAAGGGGCGGGGCCTCGCTCCAACCACGCCCCAGTGCGTGACGTCACGCGGAAGCGGCGGTGAGCGGCGGGGCCGCGTCTTAAAGGGACCGCGCCGGAAAATTGGGGAGGGGGCGACACAAATTGGGGGGCGCTCGGGGGGCACAGACCCCGAGGAGGGGGAGGGGGGCTGCGATCACCCCCTTTTGAGAGTTGGGGAGGGGGCGGAGCCCGTTGGGAGGGCACAGACCCCGGGGGAGGGAGGGACCCCCTAGGAGGGTGATGGGACCCCATAGAGGGCTTTGGAGACCCGGAGGGGGCTTTAGTGACCCCTCGGGCGGTTTGGGGGATCCTACGAGCAGTTTTAGTGACCCCACGGGCGGTTTTGGGGACCTCAAGGGAATTTTTAGGGGCCCCGTGGGAGGATGTTGAGACCCCACGGGGGGTTTGGGGGACCCTACGAGTGGTTTTATGGACCCCACGGGAGGTTTAGGGACCCCATGGGAGGGTGGTGGGAGCCCACAGGGGAATTTGGGGACCCCCGGGGGGGCGGTTTTAAGGACCCCAAGGGAATTTTAGGGTCCCCATGGAGGGCTCAGGGACCCCACGGGGCGTGGAGGGGGTTATGGACCCCATGGGGGGTTCGGGGACTCCATGGGGGGTTTTTGGAGACCCCGGTGACATTTTTAGGGACCCCCTGGGCTGACCCAGAGACCCCGAGAGGGGGGGGTCAGAGGGGTGCAGTGACCCCCGGGGGGTCCCCTCCGTGTCCTGCAGGCGCGGGGGGATTCCCATGGCAGAGCGGGATTCCCAGGATCCCCAGGATTATTCCCAGGATTCCCAGCTGGAGCGGGGCTGGCTCCTGTCTCCCCCCGGCCGCCCCTACCTGGAGTCTCTCCTGCACAAGAACCGGCGCAGGGTGTTCGGTGAGACCCCCGCCCTGCTCCAGCCCCCCAAAAAACACCCCCCCCCGTGCCCTCCCCAGGGCTGCTGGAGCGGCCGGTGCTGCCCCCACCCCCAAACACCCCCCCTGTACCCCCCAGGGCTGCTGGAGCGGCCGATCCTGCCGCCCCCCCTGGCCGTGCCCACCCTGCCCTACAAACTCTTCCTGGTGGGAAGGAGCGGAGTCGGCAAAACCGCCCTGGTGGCAGCGCTGGCCGGGACCCCCCGCCCTCCCCGGACCCCACAGACCCCCGCCCACCACGAGACCCTCGGTACGGCCCGGGGTGGGACCCCACTGGGGGTTTTGGGATCCCACAGGGGCAAACAGGGACCCTATAGGGGCGTTAAGGGACCCCTAATGGTGGGACCCCACAGGGGGTTTTGGGATCCCAGAGGGGTGTCAGGGACCCTGGGGGGGGGGGGTCATGGACCCCCCCATGGTGGGATCTCATTGAGGGTTCAGGGATCCCACGGGGGGGGTTGGGATCCTATGGGGTTGTCAGGGACCCTCTGAAGGGGTTCAGGGGCCTCTGATGGTGAGATCCCCCCCCAAGGGGTTCTGGGACCCTACAGGGATGTCAGGGACCCTTTGGGGGATTCAGGGACTCTGGGGGTGTTCGGGGACCCCTGATGGTGGGACCCCAAAAGAGGTTCAGGAAACCCACAGAGGGGTCAGGGCAACGCTTCGTAACACTGATGGATTGGCAGCTCCCACCGATTTTTAGGAGATTGGGGGGGATATTTTTCGGGGTGTTGGTGTCACCCTTGGCCCCGTGTCCCCGTTTGCACCCGCAGATTTCACCCCACTCCATCCCTGGGCAGGCTGAGAACGGGCAACACTTCGTTGCACTGATGGGCTGGCAACTGCCACTGAGTTTTGGGGGTTTGGGGGCGATTTTTTAGGGGATTTGGGGTGATTTTTTAGGGGATTTGGGGTGATTTTTTAGGGGGTTTGGGGGCGGGTTTTTTAGAGGGCTCTGGGGGGTGCCGGTGCTCGTGTGTGCCCCCCCCGTGCCCCCCAGCCCCACGCGTGTCCGTAGGGATCGAGGCCACCCCGGTGTTCTGGCCGGCCAAGCCCCGGGGCAGCGCCCGCCCCGTCCTCTTCCAACTGCACTTCTGGGACTGCGGGGACGGAGCCCTGAGGAGGTTCGAGCATCTGCTGCCCGTGAGTGCCTTTTGGGGCGGGGGGGACGCCCCCGGAACCCCCCTGACGGTGGTTTCCCCCTCCCCAGGCCTGCCAGGAGGCTCTGGACGCCGTCCTGGTCCTGTTCTCCTTCACCGACCGCGCGTCCTTCGAGGAGCTGCCGGCACAGCTGAGCCGCCTGACGGGCCCCGGCGGGACCGGCCTCGTCAGGGTGGTCGTGGGCACCAAGTATCCTTTTGGGGGGTCCCCTGGGAGGGGGTTGAACCCCCAGAGTCCTCCCGGGTGGGATCTCGTGGAGCCGAGAACGGGCAGCACCTCCTTACACCGACAGGGTCACGAATCCCGCGGCTTTTTAGGGGGGATCTTGGGGGTGTTGGGGGCTCCCCCCTCCCCCCACAGGCACCCCCAGATCTCTCACCCCCGGGCATCTCAGCAGGCTGAGAACGTGCAACACTTCGTGACACTGCTGGGTGGGGTGGGGTCACAGTCCCCACGGGGTTGAGGGGATTTGGGGGGATTTTTTGGGGTGTTGGTGTCTCCCCTGTCTGTGTGTGTCCCCCCCACAATGAGATTTGCCCCCCCCGATCTCTCACCATTCCATCCCTGGGCAGGCTGAGAACGGTCAACACCTTGTGACACTGATGGATTGGCAACTCCCACTGATTTTCAGGGGATCTGGGGGGACATTTTGGGGTGTCACTGTCACCCGTGATCCCATGGCCCTGTTTACACCCCCAGATTTCACCCCACTCCATCCCTGGGCAGGCTGAGAATGGGCAACACTTCGTTACACGGATGGGCTCGTTGGGTTCACGGCATCCCCTGATTTTTAGGGAGTTTTGTGAGGATATTTGGGGTGACCCCGGCAGGTTTGGCTGCCACATCTCCCCCCCCCAGCCCCTCCTGAAGCAGAGCCCGTTCCCAGCTCATCGCCCCGAGGGATCCGCAGCTCCCGCCGGCTCCGGGGGGATTTTGGGGTTGTCGCCGTTTCCCTTGACCCTTCGCGTCCCCGCAGATCGGACCTGTCCCCGCACGCGGCCGTGACCGAGGGGGACGTGCGGGCCTTCGAGGGCTCGTGGGGGCTGCGGGTGCTGCGGGCGGGGGCGGCGCCGGGGGCGGGCGGGGGGCGGGCGGGGCTGGCCCGGGTGGCCCCGATCCTCGATTCCCTGGTGGAGCAGCTCTGGAAAAGGGACCAGATCGCCGCCGGCATCGCCCGGGGGAAAGAGGAGACCCCCCCCAGCTGAACCCCCCGCCGAGGGGCGGCTCTGGGGGGAGGCGGGAGCGGAGAAGGTGCTTTTTGACTAAAATCTACCGTTTTCTATGAAAAAGATCCCAGGGTGCCTACATTTCCTAAAATTTACACAAATTCAGGGGATTTGGGGTGCTGGGATGGGGGTGCGGGGGGATTTGGGATGCTGGGGGTTTGGGGTGCAGTGGGATCGTGAGGATGTGGGTCCTGCAGGATTTGGGGGGAGCGCTGCAGGTGCTGGAGGATTTGGGGTGCTGGGGGTGGGGATTTGGGGTGCTGTGGATCCCGTGGGATTTGGGGTGCTGCAGGGTGATGGGTGTTTGGGGTGCTGGAGAATTTGGGGTGCTGGGGGATTGTGGGGGTGGGAGGGCTGCAGGATTTGTAGTGGGACTGGAGGTGCTCGGGGGAGATAAGGGTGCTGGAGGATTTGGGATGCTGCAGGATTTGGAGTGCTAGTGGGGTGCTGTGGGATTTGGGGTGAAGGGACTGGTGGGGATTTGGGGTGCTGAGGGATTGGGGTTGGTGGGATTAGGGATGCTGCGGGTGGTGAGGGATTTGGGGTGCTGAGGATTTGGAGCGCTGCGGGGTTTGGGGCTCTGGGGCTCGAGGGGGCCGGGCAGCCCCCACAAACCAGTCCCCCCAGTGCCGAACTGGTGGGCGGGGGGCGTGGCCGGTAGTAGCCCCTGGCCCCGCCCCCCTCCCTCCATTGGCTGCCTCCCCCCCCCCTTCCCACGCCGGTTATGAATGAACGGGGAGGGGGCGGGGGGGCTCCGTAACCCCTTCGCGGCCGGACCCGGCACCCCCAAGGCCCCTGCGAGGCCTCTCCCCGCTCCTCGGGGGCGCTCCCAGAGCCCCTTCGCTTCCCACGGCCGCGTCCCCCCCCCCCGCGCGCGGCCTCCCCAGTGCCGGACTGGGCCTAACTGGGAGCGGCCGCGGCCCCTTTAAGAGCGGGCGTGGCCGGTGACGTCACCGGGGCATGAATGAACAGGAGCGGGCGCGCGCCCCACACACCCCATACACCCCACACATCCCACACCTCGTGGGGCACCCCCGGCACCCCCCACGGTCCCCCCCACCCACCATGACCGGGACCCCCCCGACCCTCACCCTCCTCCTCCTCACCGCCCTCACCCCCCTCCCCCCCGCGGCCGCCGAGGA